AGAAATAAGGAATGTTCTGCAGGAGAGGTCATCCCTCTGACCTCCTGTGGCCATTTCCTGCTCCATCACTGGAACATAGGAAACTACACAGGACCTGAGGTCACCATGCCTTGAACAGAGAGAATATTGCAACCCAGTCTCACCATCCCTCTGCTCAGCCATGGTAATCCACTGGGAATCCCAGCCTAAATAACTGCAGATGAACTCTCTGCATCTGCCTATACCACCTGTCCACACTGGCGTTTAGAAGACTCCCTGACAGGGAGAAATCATGACAGGGTCAGCCCAACTGTTCGCCCAAAAACTACTGTTGAAAATTTTGCAAGAGTTGATTTCTAAGCAGAGGGGGAGTAAATCGGGTGAGTTGGATAAGCTTGTATAACTACAATAGCTGAAGGAGAGATCATTGATTTTGGAAGATCTAGTGAAGTAATATAGATTTGTGTTTTCTTTTTTTGGGGGGGAGGGAGGTCCAGTCGTGGGGCCTGAACTCTGGGCCTGGGCACTGTCCCTCAGCTCTTCAGCTCAAGGCTAGTGCTCTACCACTTGAGCCACAGCACCATTTCCGGCTTTTTTCTTTTTGCTTATGTGGTGCTGAGGAATCGAACCCAGGGCCTTATACATGCAAGGCAAGCACTCTACCACTGAGCCACCTTCCCAGCCCCTAGATTTGTGTTTTCTAGATGACTCGTGGGTGAAGGAAAGGCTAAAAATATATAAGCAGAAGTTGTGGAGGGATCTATACCAGATTGATAAAAGGATATGAATGAATAGGAGTTTGGAAAAATGATTTAGGTTAATGTGTCGATGATGGATGAATGGGTGCATAGACCCATAGTTCTTCTAGAATTCTAATTACTGCAGTGTTTCAGAAATTGCAGAAACATACAACTATGTTATGATTTAGATAATTTTTACATGAAACAATATAAATTGGGCCATCTATCTGAAAATCCATGCCCTGAATATCATCACTGTGTAAATTCAAGGAGATAGTTTCATGTGGGAACATGGAACTTTCTTAAATTTATCTGAAGGTAAGCACATAAAAAATTAACCTTTGATGAAGATGGAGGATTATTAGATATTTTCCATCATGATATAAGTGAACAACAGTGAACAAAAACTGCAAATCTCAAATTGGGCCAGAAATTAGACACAGTTCCTGAGATGTAGCTGTGGACACTGTGCAAGCTAGAATGGAACCAGTAGTCAGTAAATGGATGAAGCATGGGCACAGTTACATGGGGTGGAGCCCAAGAAAGAGGCACTTACCAGTTTCAGTGTGACCTCCAAGAGCTCCTCCTCTGTCTTCTGGCGCAGGCAGTGAACCATGGTGGCGGATGTGGTGGTTTTGCACCCAGCCGTGATCGCAACTTTCTGCAGAGATCACAGGCAACCACAGAGGTGAAAAGCAATGCTCTTCCTTCCATCAACATACACATAGGGTTCCTCTTGTGAGCCAAGTTCACCAAGATGGCAGAGATAGCTAGAAATATCCTAGGGAGGGGTGCCGCTCTGCAACCCACCAGGTGTCTAAGGGAATCTTGGCTTGAGCAGGTCACACAACATCTGGGTCTGTGTTGACTGTGCCAAGCACCATCAAGGATAAAATGTGAAAAATGTTCTCAAGGCTGAATGCTTGGAAAGAATCCATTTCAAATGAAGCCCCAGATTCCAACTGTTCTCAAACCCAACCCCCTCCACTGCTTAAACAATGGACCTCAAGCAGGCAGTCTACGCTGTGTGGTCCAGATTCCTCCCTCATACATGAGGGTGATGATCCAACATATCCTACTAAGACTGAACACATGTGGAGTAATTAGACGTCCACTGGGTCCCACGTGCTAAAATGTGCGCTATTGCAGGAGGCTTGATTTCCATGGCTAATGTGAACATACAGAACGAGAATTACTTCAGAATGTGCAGAATGAGTTCAATGTGAGCCTAAAGGAGCTTTCTGCTCAGCCACTCTCTCTCTTCAGGGACTCCTTGAGCATCCTAGCTGAATCTCACAGGAAAGTTTCTTGAGAACGTCAGGATCATGGAGGGCAGGGAAACAGAGCTGTCCAGGGCGATGCTTACCTCAGCTATAGACCTGATGTTCTTGGTCTTCACCAGAGCAGACATGAGAGCCACACCACTCTCAGCAATGGCCCTGTGGAAGAGGTTCTTGGCCAAGGGAGATAGCACCTGGCAGGGGAGAAGAGAAGAGGATATTTCGTGTTCACTTTCTTCTTCTTTGCGACTTCTGTTATCTGCTCCTCTGCCCTGGACATTCCCCAGAAGACCTTGATGTTCTGTGACCATGAAATGACAGATGCTCCCTTGTCCTGACCTGCGTCCTGGGCTTCTCCAGACCTATGCTCCCCAAGGGAAAGTCAGGGGAGGAAGCCTTTGTGCCCCTGACTAGAACAGAACGGAAAGAATGTGGTGTCTAATCATGACAAACCAAAGTACTGAAAAGACAGCTTGATAAACTCAGTTCCAGCATTTCAGTTACTGATGATTTGTACTTAGATACATGATCATGGAGAGGTTCTAGTGTTCAAACATTAACAAAGCCAACCAAGTGAAGGACAAGAGTATGACTGTCACAGGCAGTACTGGAAATCCTTATGAGCCAAGGATGAAGGCTCAGGCCTGAGATTTCTGGGGGTTAAGGGGGGTTTGGGCTTTGGCTCTATACCCTCAGAGGCTGTGTAGTGAATAGAGTTACCCCTGAATTAAGCTTTTATAAGCAAAGATCCCATCCATGGATGAGCTGGTCTCTATGAGATTCAACAGAGCTATAAAGATCTGGTGTCAGGAACACTTACAAGCACAGACACACTTTCACCTCCCGCTGACTCTCCAAAGATGGTCACAGAGCCTGGGTTCCCTCCAAAGTTGGCGATGTTGTCCTGGACCCAGCGCAGTGCGGCCACCTGGTCCAAGTGACCCCAGTTCCCACGGCTGTGTTCGTCCCCTGTGCTGGAAGAGAATGAGGTGGGGTAGGACACAGCTGTCAGGACAGG